GTTGTTTCACACACCGTGAATCAGCGTATAAAAAATAAATAGCTTTCGTATTTAATAAGTGTTTGTTGTTTTTTTTTAGTTTTTTGGTCTGCCAATTCTAATTTTTTTTCTTTTTTTTTGCAATTTATTTTCGGTCTGATTACAAAATTTTGTAGACGCATTGCTAATTTAAAATTAGTTTGTTTACTAAATTTAACCCAACGATAAAAAGAAACTGCAATATTTTACTCAAGAATTTTTCGTTTCCCCAGCAACTGCCGTGTTGCTTGAATGTGATAAAAAAATTAACTTGATAAAATGCAAATTTTGAGAAAATTATTAAATAATTTTTGATTACATTAATTTTCAATCATTGCTATATTTTTAATTTTGCACCTTTTACTACACCATTTCGACTTTGTTGCAATTATTGAGATATAAACCCCTCCAGCCCCTGCAAAAAGAGCATTTTGACAATTATAATTATTTTAATTCAATTTAGTTTTTTATTTAATATTATTCTATTTACTTAATTTCGTTTAATTTATATATTTTTTTCGATTTTTTTTTCAGTTTTTATTTTCTTTCTTTTTCTTTATTATTAAATGTTTATTGTTTTCTTTTACTTTATATAATTTTTATTTTTATTTTTTTTATTTCTTTTTATTTTATTATAATACTATTTGGTTTTTATGTTACTTTACTTTACTTTTATTTTTAATATTTTGCTCTTCTTGATATTATTTTATTTATTTTTTATTTTTTTAATTTATTTTATTTAATTTTATTTTAATTTATTATATTTTATTATATTTCATATTTACGTATTTTATTTTAATCTTTTGTATTTTATTTTACTTGCTTTATATTTTTTATTTTATTTTAATTTTATTACATTTTATTTGGTTCTATTTTATTCTACCTAATTTTATTTTTTGTTGTTATTTTTTAATTCTTTTAATTAATTTAGTTTATTTGTTTTAATTTAATCTTACTTTATTATGTCTTATTTAATTTTATCTAGCTTGTTTTATTTTATTTTTTCATCTTATTTAATTTTAATTCATTTTATTTTGATTAATTTTTTTCTACCATATCTCATTTTTAGTTATTATTACATTTTGTACTGATTTTTATTATTTTATTATATTTTATTTAGTTTAGTTTGTTATATTTTATAATAACTTTATTATTTTAGTTTATTCTTTTAATTTTTTCTTATTATATTTTATTTTGATCTAATTAAATTTTTTATTCTTTTTATATAATTTTATTTTATTTTATATTAATTTATTTTATGTAATTTTATTTTATTTTAATTTGTTTTATTTTATTTCATTTTATTTTATTTTATTTTATTTTATTTTAATTTACTTTATATTATTTTTTAGGTTAAGGTGTTTTCTTTTAATTTTTTTATTTAGTATCATTTTATTATATTATGTTCTACTTTATTTTATTTTTTATCTCATTTTGTTTTTTTCTTTTCATTTTCTTATTTTATTTTTCTTCATTTCATGTTTTATCTTATTTTATTTTCCTTTTTTGTTTTAATTTTTTTTATTTATTTCATTTTATTTTAATTAATTTGATTATATTTCATCTTATCTTACTTTATTTTATATTTTATTTAGTTTTATTTTATTTTACTCTATTTTGTTGTATTTAAATTTTGTTTCATTTTATTTTAATTTATTTTTTAATTTATTTTATTTTATTCTTGCTTTGATTTTTTTGTTATTGTATTTTCAATATCTATTTTTCATGTTTCATGTTTTAGGGCAACAATAATCTCATTTATATGCAACTCGCCTTCATAAACTCATTAAGTCAATTGTAGCCAACATTCATGCCCCATAAAGCGTCTAATTAGATGGTTTTTTCAATAATATAAATTCAGAGTGCTCCATAGAATATATATTTTTTAAAATCTATTTCAGACATTCACTGAAAAAACAAGCAAACAGAAACCCATAATTACCATTCAACTATGTGGACAATATTGCTGGGAAATTTGCTAAAAAATTAACTTTTTTTTAAATAAATAACAAAAATGTTAAAAGAATTTAAAAAAAATTAATTGTTAAAATTTTTCGGCTATACGTACATTTAACTGGCCATTATTGTATGTACACGAGTGGGTAAACATTTAGTTTAGAAGGAACATCCGTTCCAATATTTCACTCGCAATGACGTCATGCCGGTAGTATTAGTGTAGTAGTGCTGGCGGTCACGCATGCCGGTCTCTTATTATCCAACACTTTGTTCGCCAGTATGTCAATTACTGGCTTTGAGGTAAACAAGTATGTACATATGTTTAAAAGTCGAATTCGCAAAAGCAACAATGGCGTACATAGTACATACATTTATGCCTGTATACAAAATTAATCCAGTTTCCTTTTCTTTAGCAGTTTTGACAAATGTTGTTGTTGGTTTCTTTATTTCACTTAAAGCTCACTTGTGGCTTGAATTACCCAATTTGTTGTTGATTATTATTATTTTTTTTTTGTCATGTGTACGTCTGACAAATGACGTCACGTCTAGTGAGTGATTTCAATATTTCATATTTTTTATTGTTTAACAATGAGTCTAAACTCATTAGTAATATGTATGAGTGTGTGTGTGCTGTTTTTTTCTGATTTTTTTTTTTGCAATGTAATTTGAGTTGTTAATGTTCGACATTCAGATAAACACTTCAATATTCGCAATGTTTTCCTTTTTATTTTTTTGTTATTGTATTATTTTTTTTTGCATTATTTGTTTTTCACTTAGCTTGTTGTTAGTAATTTTTTATTTATTTATTTATTTATCACTCAAATTACCCTTTTTTCTATTTATTTTCCATATATTTGAGTCATCATTTTTATGGTGCTGATGATGTTGTTGGTGTTGTTATTATTATGATTGACACTGTCGTGTTTTTGCTTGTTTTGATTTTTTTAATCGCAACACATTGTGTCTTTTTTATGACAGCGAGCTGNAAATTAACTAACATAAAATAAAATGAATTTAGAAAATAAATTTAAATAGTAAAATAAGTAAAATACGAAAGTAGTATAAAATATAATAAATTAAATAAAATAATGCAAATTAAAGCAAAATAAAATTAAAAAAGATAAAATAAAATGAAATAAAGTAAAATAATATAAAATAAAGTAAAACATAAAATTAAATTAAATTAAAAACAATTTTATATTTTAAAATAAAATAAATAAAATCAATTAAATTAAATAAAAAAAAAATAAAATAAAAAAAAATAAAATAAAAAAAAAATAAAATAAAAAAAAATAAAATAAAAAAATAAAAATAAAAATACAAAAATAAATAAAAATAAAATAAACTTAATTTACTAATATAACATAAAAATAAATTAAATAAAATAAAGTAAAATAAATACAATTAATTAAAAACTCCAAATCAAAGTAAAATAAAATAAAACAAAATGAAATAAAATAAAGGATAATAATTTAAAATTAAATTAAATTAAATAAAACTAAAAAACCGAAATTAAATAAAATGAAACTAAATAAAGAGAATTTAATTAAAACAAAAAAAATAAAAAAGAAAACAAAATAAAAAATTAAATAAATTGAATTAAATAAAATTAAATAAATTAAAATAATTTAAAATTAATTAAACTAAGTGAAAAAATGAAAATAAAATAAAACAAGATAAAAAATTAAAGCAAATAAAATAAAATATAACAAAAAACAAGTAAACCAAAATAAATTAAATTAAATTAATTTAAATAATATAAAATTAAATTAATAAAAATTTATTAAAATAAAACGAAATAAAAAACAAATATATAAATAATAAATCTATTTAAATTCAAATAAATAAAATAAAAGTATAATAAAATAAAGTTTAAAAAATTAATTTGAATTTAATTTAATTTAAATATAATAATATGGGACAAAATAATAAAAAAAACCTCAATGAAAAAATTTTAAATAAAGAAATAAATAATTTTAAACTAGAAAAAATAGATGAAGTGATATAAAAAAGAAATAAAATTAAATTCATTAACACAAAATAAAATAATTAAACTTTATAATTAATATAAACTGGACAAAATATATATATAAAGTAAATTAAATTATAAAAAAATTAATTAATTAAACAAAAAATAAAAAATAAAATAATAAAAAAATAAAATAATAAAAAATAAAATAATAAAAAAAAAATAATAAAAAAATAAAATAATAAAAAATAAAATAATAAAAAATAAAATAATTTATAATAAAATAAAAAAATTAAAATAAATTAACTTAAAAAAAATGTAAAATAAAATAATATCAAAATAATATGAAACGAGTTAATTTGAAATAAAATCAAATTCAATCAAATAAATCTTAAAGTAAATAAAATAAATTTAAATTAGAAAATAAAATAAATTATAAAAAACAAAAATAAAATGAAAAAACTAAAATAAAATAAGAAAAAATTAATTTGATGAAAATAAAATGAATAAAACTAAATTAAATAGTAAAGTAAAATGGAATAAAATATTAAATTATTGTACAATTAAATGAAATAAAATTAAATTAAATAAAATTAAATTAAATAAAATTAAATAAAATAAAATTAAATTAAATAAAATATGGGAAAATAAAATAATTAAAAATATAATATTATATACTCCGGTTCAATAGCCGACATAGCACTTTTTTTTGCTGCTATCAACAATCTGTCTCGACCGAGGGGCGGAACGATATTTTACTATTTTTATAGTCAATTGTACTTTTCGCTCGTTACTTTTCAGAACTTCTTTTTTTTTTCTGGAGATAATTTTCACACTTTTTTTTAAACTATTACCAATAAAAATCTTTTCCAACAATTTAAAAAAACAGAAATTTACAGTTTTATTTTAATGACTGCTTTTATGGTTTACGGCGATGCTTTAGTATGATATTTTGGCTTTATATTTTGTAGATATTTAAACTTTTATTGCAAACTTCTCACACTTCTTTTAAAGAACTTTTTGTTAACCTTCTTACTCTTTTCTCCTTTCATTTCAGCAGGGCTTTGGTTTCGAACCGGACATGGACATGGACATGGATATGGACATGTTTCCTCGCAGCCGCTTGGGTCGCATGCATGACCCCTTCGGAAGCTTCAACAATACACGTAAGCGCACTAATCTAACACACGACCCTCATTCAATGGATACTGATATGGGTTTTTCTTCTTACTTTGACGACGCTGCAGATTTCGGCTTCCCCCAATTCAACTCGCTAGGACGCCGACGGGCTGCCGACCATATGGGTCGTGATGATGATTTCTTTAATCGCCTGCCATCAGAATTCCGCCAGTATATACCAGATGGTTTTGGACACAGACGTGCTGGCGAAAGTGCCACATTACCACGCCAGCATAGCGCCCAGCATACACAACAAGTGCCAGTACAAAGTGGTGGCGGTGGCGTCGGCGGCGGCGCTCCCGCTTACTATCAGTCATACGCACCCGCCTCACCACCCAATGGCGTACCGCAATCGCCATCGAAGAAACTTTGTGATGCCGCCATACAAACTGAGGATCCCGCAATGCGTACCGGTGGCGATGAGGTGGATCATGCCGCGCCTCAGCTTCACGGTGATAACTTGAAACAACATGGTTTACGCAATACAGTCGATATGGGTGTGAAGTCCGCCCTAGAGTCAGAACAGGGCGCACGCGCACATTCGGCACCACCACAAGAACAACAACAGGTGCCAGTGAATGGTAAACGTCAGACGCCGCCACCCCAAGCCGGACACACACAATTCGGCACTCAGACTAGTCCACATGTACAGGCTGGCGTTAACGCTGGCCAGCAACCGCAGTTCCACAAGGTTTACTATCCACCACAACAGCAACCGCATCCACAACAGCGTCAACAGACGCCACCGCCGCCACAAACTCCCGGCGGCAGTTATGTGCGCACCATACCAATCTTTGTCGAAGGCCGATCCGAGCCTATTATTAATGCTCACAAAGAAATACCAAATCAGAATAGCGCACCTGGGCAAGCACAGGCTTCAGCTAGTGCCTCGGCTAGGGCTTATGTACCGCCACAACAACAACAATCACAGCAACATCATCAGCCACAATCCCATCAACAACAACAACAACATCGTCCAACGCCACTAAATACTCAACAGCCACAGCAACAAGGTGAAGGTACCGCTGCCGCCGCCGGCATGCCCCCGCAAACCCCACACACCCTCGACTCGATCAGCAAAATTCAAGACATTCAACGTGATGTACTCGATCTCATGGGAAAAGTTGAGAAATTCACTGGCACACGTCAAGACAAAGAATATGTCTATCTCGACGAGATGTTGACGCGTAATCTACTCAAGTTGGACACAATCGATACAAACGGCAAAGACAGCATACGTCTAGCACGTAAGGAGGCCATCAAATGCATACAAGCTTCGATTAATGTGCTCGAGGCGAAAGCCAATGAGAATACCAAAGCTGCACAACAGGCCGCAGAAGGTGGCGAAGCTATGCCCGAGCAGTCTGCAGCAGAGCAGCCAGTGCAAACAGAGAATGCTGCGACGCGAAAGAGTGCTTCTAAAGAGAAAGTGGGAGCGACTGCAGCAGATGCCACAGAAACACCTGCCGTCGGTAGTGAACCCGAACCGGCTGATGCAAAACAAATACAAGCGCCCATACCATTGCCACCACCCGAAGGCATGCAAGTAGAAGAGACAGCGGCTGTCAGTGAGGCGAAGAGCGCAGAGTCAAAGGAAAGCGCAGCTGAGACGGTTGCGGAGACGAGCAATAAACAAGAAGCGGAGGCTGGTGCGCCAACAAGCGAGGGATCGGCGAAGGCTGAGACGGAGTCGAGTAAATGATGATTACAACAGCGCATCTCATCAGGTGCCGTGAGCTCCACCTACTCGGCTACATTTTCAAAGCGTTTACATAGCATCACCAAGCGAAAGTCCTAAAAAAAAACTTAGTTTCATACATCAAATTATTAAATGTAAAATTCGTTGTGTTAGAAATTTAACGAAAATTTAAGAAAAAAAAATATTGAATATTTACTTACCCATACGTTTTTATTTTATGCCACAAAATATTTTTGTTTGTTTTTTTTTTGTTTTTTTTTTTTTTTAGAAAATGTTGAAAGTAATGCTGAGCGCAGAGTTTTAGGAAAAAAAAATTATGATTATTATTACATACATACATATTTGTAAATTTAAGCGAGAATATGTTTGAAGCGCAAGCGGACTGTTCACCCTAATACGCCAGCCAAGGCATCAGCTGAGGCTGAAGTGGTCAAATCTAAGCAAAGGGTATTGCGTTTATTGGATGGAGAAAAGAAAAAAAATAATAATAAATATTAATAATAAATTAAGAATAAAAATATTTAAAATATAAATGTTATTTTTTTTGTTCTTCACAAGCATCTGTAGAGGAGGAGAAGAAATAAGAGAAGACATTCGGTCCATTATTATTATTTTTTAATTTTTTTCGCATAGAAAAGTCGATTTACGTTCGACCTTGTTTACAATTGGCATTGCGTTGAGCAATATTTCTTATTTAATCGAAAACTATATATTTATCGATTGTCGATAATTTTATATTTTTACGCTCATAACCAATCTTGGTTTTTTCACTATACAAATATAAGTTTATTGGTCGTATTAATGAGTTGTGAGAAGAAAAAATGGAACATAATTTACAATAACATTTCAAAACAGGATAATATACCTTTGAATAATCGTTATATCGAACTTTTGCACCATTTATCGTTATCGGAAATCAAAGATTAATAAAAACCAAGGCGAATTTATAAAATTTGAAGTTGTCGCAACATATGATTGCTTGTTCTTCCTTTCATTTCAACGAATTACACAAGCAAAATATTTGAGAAATTGTTTTTGACATTACGAACTTTTTATTACACCAACAAAATACATGCAACGAATTTCTTTTTTGACTTTTCGAAACTGCGATTACACCAACAAAATTCATATGTTTTTTTGTTTTTGTATTCCTGCTAGTACCGTATGTAAATTTGCCTTGAATAAAAACATGTCATAAAACCGTTGTCATCGTCTGTTTCTTGGACAATCGAAAAACTAAGGGTGCGATTAAAGATATCTTACCATAAAAATAGTGCCGTAACCATAGTCACTTGTTGGTACCATAAACTGATGATGATCATTTGTAGTTAAAATTTCGATTCGATGAAAGTTTTGAACAAAGCTAAAATAATATGCAGTGACGATAAAAATTATAGTTTGTCTATGAACATTTTAACGTTTTATGCTAAAAGGAAAAAAATAAAGCAAAAAGGAGTTAAAATACGAAATAGCAACGAAAACGTTTTTGAAAAAAAAAAGATATGGGCAAAAGGCAATTTTTGTTTTATAAAAAACCAGAAAATTCAATAAAAAAAAATAATAATAATAAAAAACACACTAGAACCTTAAGGACAGATCAAAGAACAAAACCAAAATTCGTTTAGTAACAAAGCGTATAATTTTTTCATGATTTTGACAGCTACTGCGCTGAAGTAAAATAAAGATACACTTTATAATTGTTGTATTTGCGCTTCTACTCTCACCTTTATGAATTCGCTTTAATTTGTAGCTATGGCTACGGTGTGGGCATTGTCATTGTGGTATGGCATAAATAATCGAAAATAGTGTACGCCCATTAAGTTGGTTGAATCAGCTATTTTTTGTGGTTATGGTATCTCTAATTTAAGTAAGAGCGCTTGTTACATTAACACGCTTTTCAAAGACAAAAATACATTTGAGAAAAAAAAACGAATAAATAAATAATAAATTCATTATGTAAATTGTTATCGAAAGTTATTAGACTCACTCACTTAGAACGTCCGCTCTCATCTCGCCATAGATTCGGCAATACTTTCCAAGATGAATTCAAAAAAAAGAATTGCCCATATCCACGTGGCCATATTTGGAGTTCCGGTATCCTATTTGCCTGTGGCCTCTCCATTTATGATTTATTGATAGACCCACCTTATTTTGAAAGAAACATGATGGTCCAGTCAAATTCCGTAACAAACAGTGACTGCCGTTGTTTTTTGACTATCACCTATGTGGGTTCTCCAGACCCAATTGAGGCGATTTTGACGATTGAGAAATTACTCAAGGTGAAAAAATGCATAACTATTTTTGCTACAAAAACCTGTGCAAACTGTCATGATTTTTAAAATTTTCTTTTATAATGAAGGCTCCATTTTTACTAACCGTAGTCTGTTAGCTGTCAAATAAACATACATGTATTGTATATATGCTTAATAACCGCTTAAGCGATTTTCGGTCGAGTTCCTCCTCCAATTTTTGGTTTTGCATCTTAATGTTTTATCAACAAATGGAGGGATCTACAGTATATACTCTGAACAGCTGATGGTTTTTTAAGAAGAGCCTTCAATTCATGTCAGAAATTCACACGGAGGTGTTGGCATTCCCTGCCGTAATTAGAAAATTTAACTTAATTTTTTATTTAAATTAAGTTTTAGATGTTGGTCGTGCTAGGATTTGAATCTGGCCTTCCGAATGGTAGTACGCAATGCTAACCCCTCCGGCTACCGCGACAAGATTTCACTGCCTAAATAGTGTTCCATTATATGCTTACATGAGGAATAAGGTTACAACAATAGTATCATGGTGAATTCGCTTTGACATAACGAACGCACGCTTCCTCAAAAAAAAAAAAAACAAATGACACGAATATCGGACGAAATTTTTGTGTTCTCGCAAGTGATTTGTGTGAATTCGATTTGGTTCTGACGTATTTTAAAATATGAATTTATGTTGGAGAAAACGGCCAGTTAAATAAATAATTAAATTTTCGTTGTATCGAACGGATCAACCTTTCGATTATACAATTATTTTATCGATCATAACATTAAAATTGAGATTTTTATTTTAATATGCTTTTAGCAGAGAACGTATATTAAAGAGAAGGACCCCGGGGCGTGCCGATTGCCATTAGTTCCACCTACGGGATTGCTAAGAGCCTAATTCACCTCTATACGATATTAGTAAGAGACTATACGATATTAGTAAGAAACTATACGATATTGGTAAGAAACTATACGATATTAGTAAGAAACTATTTCGCCGCTAGTTAACAGCGAACTACCAGAGACTGACAAATTATTTACAGAATAATGATATTTGGGGCAGAATTATTTTATTAATTTATTATTATCCTGCTTAGAAATGTGGACAAACAGTGTCAATTTCTGGCGGCAGTGGTGAAATAGTATCTTTCTTTTTTCTTTCATTCATCGATTCTGACAGTTCACATGCTGTCAGCAATCGGTCCTTCTCGTTATTTGACGTTCGCTGCTTTTAGTACAGTTTCAGCAAAATAATTTTACGTGGGCATATTTGAATACTGGAAAATATTTTCGTACATCTTAAAGCTGTTCGAAAAAGCCGAAAAGAGTTGAAATTTTAAATTTTACACATAAGAAAATATCTTGTGATTAAGGGGCACACCTAGCGTAATGGCCTAAAAAAAGGCGATTTTTGGTGATTTTTATAAAAAAAAAAATACTTTATCAATTATTTCAAAATTTTAAGAATATATTTATACATGTTTCAAGAATATACAGTGAAATTTTTGAAGAAAAAAATTAAATATTTTTTAAGTTATAGTCGAACTCCAACGGCGCGAAAAAAGGTCCTTCACTGCTGCAGTGATTCCAGCCTTCTCCGTGGATGAAATCTAAAAAACAAAAATTCTCTACTAGGTAATATTGTCTGTACAATGACCTACGATGAAAAAAAATCAAAAATTGAAAATATGGCGGCGTTTTAAAAAAAATAGTCGCATTTTACCCAAAATTTTGGTCGTTTCTGGCCTGCCAAAATTCGATTTTTTGATCAGATCAAAAATCGATAGGTCATTGTACGGAGAACTATATATAGAACATGTATAAGAATTCGATAGTAATCGGATCACTGCAGCAAATTCAGAAATTGCTGTTTCGAGAAAAACGCGTTTAATGATGAAATGATCGTTTTCATTCGTAGCTAACGAGACTCTCTAGCTGCCGAGCGGCTGCTCTTTAAATTGCCATAACTCAAAAACTATTTGAGATATCGATTTGAAATTTTCATATGTTATTTTTAATGGTGTAATCTACCGAAATATGGAAAAAAGGTCACACTAGGTTCACACTAGGTGTGCTCCTTAAGTATTTAAAATATTATATCAGACCAAAATTTTAAACTTAACAATTAGTGCTCAAGAGTCCTAAAACCCACTATGTCTATTTTCGACTTGTTGTTTTTTATGTACATGTATATATATAATATACATAAATATATACGTAATGTATGATAATATTAAGAAACCTTTTACAAGTTTACATGCAGGCCACAAATCAATTTTTTCTAAAAAAAAAATATTCAGATAACCCGTTAGTTCATTTTGTGTTAAACTAAACATACAGCAGCAAAATTTCATGTGGAAGAGAAAAAAGCAACATAGTTCTGGGGCAAGAGTTGAAAGGAAAACTTTTCGATGAGCTGAGAAGTCGATTTGTAAGTTAATTTTATTTTATATAAATTTATTTTATTTATTAAATTTAATTAAATTTAAAGAAAAAAAAATCATTAAAATTTATTTACTTATTTATACTCAAAAAAAAAAAGCTTAAGGCTTAATAAGAATGCTCTCAAGTATCTACGTTAGCTGAGAAAACTCGGATCAAATATTTTGACTTCGTTTACTCCACTTAATCAAGTGGTGCCTGTTTTGAGATAATTTTTTCGAAGTCATAAAGTATTTTGATGGCGGATCTAGTTCATTTAGAGCACTCTCTAATTCTGGAAATATCTCTTTTTGGTTTACCTTTATAATCATCATGTTGTTCTTTTGTTCTATCATAATTAAAGCTCAAGCAGAATAGAGCTGAATAAATTGGTGACCTTTTAAGAAATTTACGAAAAATAAAATCTTTATTATTTATATAACAATTTAGAAATTTTTATTTTTTTTTTAAGTTTTATGGTACTGTCTCGGACCATATATTTTTTTTTGGAAATATTGAAAAGCATACAACAACAATTTTGGACGGTAGAAGTTGGCTGGTATTTAGAAAACCACCACGTTTCCTCATCTTACTTCTTCTACCAGACACGCTTGTTCGAATTGGATTCGAACTTGGGATGCCCATAGCACGAGCCAATGGTTAGCCCATTAAGCTACATATGTGCCGCTTGCACTTTTTGTTTGTTTTCATTTTTTTCTTTGTTTATTAATAAATAATAATATCATAAACATAAAGCTTAAAANTAATTTTATTTAATACTAATTCACATCAAAAACAAAAATCGAAACACTCTAAAGTTAGGCATAATTAAAAAATTAATTCAATTAATTCGTTAAATAATTTTTCTAAGTGCAGAAATTAAATAATAATAAAATATATTATTTAAAGTACTGAAATCAATAAATAATTGCAAATAAAAAAAATATTTTAATAAAATGTTTTATTCAAATTACAATAATTAGTGTGAATTTGAATTTTGCGGGCAATTTACAGATCTATAGAAAGGAAGAGAGAGAGAGAGAGAGACAGAGAGCAAGGGTTTAAATAATTCTTACTCATTATATATATATTATACAATATATAATTGGCGCTATGTAACAGCTTAAGCAATTTTCAGCCGAGGCGTGAGGAATGAGGCGCAATTTGTGTTTTTGCGTCTTAATGTTTTTTTCAACAAATGGAGAAACCTACAGTTTATACCCCGAACAGCTGATGGTTTTTTATGAGGAGCCCTTAACTCATGTCAGAAATACACTTGGAAGGGTTGACATTCCCTGCCAAGGGGCGACCGCAATTAGAAAATTTTGCTTAATTTTTTAATCCAATTAATTTTCTATAAGTTTTTGGATGTTAGTACGACACTAGAATTGGAACCCGAGCCTTCCGAAAGGCAGTACGAAATGCTAACTACTCGGCTACCGCGGCCGCCATCGATACTCATTATATTGGGTTGCCCAAAAAGTAATTGCGGATTTTTCATATAGTCGGCGTTGACAAATTTTTTCAACGGCTTGTGACTCTGTAATTGCATTTTTTCTTCTGTCAGTTATCAGCTGATATCCACCAAAGGAAGGTTATGCTGTCTGTTTGGTGGGATTGGAAGGGTGTCGTATATTTTGAGCTGCTTCCAAGGAACCAAACGATTAATTCGGATGTTAACTGTCAACAATTGGCCAAATTGAATACAGCCATCAAGGAGAAGCGACCAGAATTGGTCAATCGTAAAGGTGTCATATTCCACCAGGACAACGCTAGACCGCACACATCTTTGGTCACTCGCCAAAAACTGAGTGAGCTTGGCTGGGAACTTTTGATGCATCCACGATATAGCCCTGACCTTGCACCATCAGGCTACCATTTATTTCGATATTTGCAGAACTCCTTAAATTGTAAAACTTTCGGCAATGATGAGGCTATAAAATCGCACTTGGTTCAGTTTTTTGCAGATAAAAGCAAGAAGTTTCATGAACGTGGAATACTAAATTTGCCAGGAAGATGGCAAAAGGTTATCGAAAAAAATGGCAATTCTATATTTGATTAAAGTCCGTTCTAAGTTTTATTAAAAATGCATTTACTTTCTTTTAAAAAATCCGCAATTACTTTTTGGGCAACCCAATATTATAACAATAAATATTTGAAACCAAATGCATAGATTTGCTCTACCCGAAAGAAATTTTTTAAAGAGATCTAATCGTTTCTTCAAATCACTGTCACTTCATATACGCTGGTGAAAAATAAGCTCGGCTATTTTAACAAGTAAGAAAAAGCTGTGAAGTTGATCCCCGCCTGGTGACGCCCAGTGACGGTAGTGACCGAAGAAAATGTTCAGAGAGTCGAAAAATTAGTACTGGCTGATTGAGGAAAGAAATTGTGGCAGATGGCAGAAGGATTACAGATCAGCAAAGAGCGAGCTGTAGAGATTTTGCATGACCATTTGAATATGAAAAATTATTAGTATGGGCTGGGTATCGCGAATGCTTACGCCGTTCGACAAGCAGCGACGATTGGAAAACTGTAAAGATTTTTTGCAGTTGTACCAAGATGATTTGGATGAACCGCACTGTAATAGTTGAGGAAACTTGGATTCATCAGTATGATCACGAGTCCAAACAGGAGTCGATGCTGTGGCCAAAAAGAAATCAAAGAGGAAAAATCGGCTTCAAAGTTTATGGCTACCATCTTCTGGGATAGCGGCGTAATTTTATTAATTTATTACTTGTCAAATAGAACTCCAATGAATGGCCAGTATTTCAAGTATTTCAGTAATTTGTTGACTCACAAGCGTGAGTTAGTCAAACAGAAGAGACGTGGCAAGTTAACGCGCCCGGAGTGCTGTTTCATCAAGACAACGCACCTGTTCACACCGCTCGGGTTGCCTTAAAAGCTGTGAGATTGACAGAAATTGACCATCCATTCTACAGTGCGGACCTGGCACCCTGTGACTGTTTCCCTTTTTTTTCAAATTTAAATAGAAGTTGCGGCGAGGAAGATTTTCAAACGACAGGGAGATGAAAGCGGCCGTAGAAAACCACTATGAAGGGAGATCTTTTCAGCGGCATAAAGGCATTGTATTCACGATGTGAAAAGTGTATTTCACTTGAGAGAGACTACATTGAAAACCAAAAAAAAAACACTAACTATACATATATTTCATTAAGTACTTTAGGCTGCGATCTTATCAGCCGCCACTCGTATGTATGAAGTGTCTTCGTTGTCAGCCATTATCTCAGGTTGTTCATACTACCCTCGTTTCTTTCTTCTTTTCTCTCTCTCTCCCTTTCTCTTTCTTTCTCTCACCCTTTCTCTTTCATTCCCTTTCTCTTTATCTTTCCCTTTCTCTACCTCTCTCTCTCTCTCTACCTTAATTTGTCTGCTAATAACTCTCGCTACTATTATACTTCGACGGAAACTGATTTTTCCCATGGGTGGTAGCTGGGTATGCCGTGTACGGTAAACCCTATCTTCTTGTTCCAAGGGACCGTTGCCCCTCATTTAAACGATAATTACGTACATAATCTTCCGAGACACCACTTTTAACCGAGCTGCACTGCTACATTCTTTATTGTGTCTCCATTTAGAATAGCCACAGCAATGCTTTCGCAGATTGAAGTAGTGGTTTGGAGCTTTGTCCATTGCCAATTGAAAATCCTGTAGTCTTTATGCTTGAAAGTACGCTAGGTTTTGTCTGCCAAATGTGGAACACTCACAGATAGACTGCGTTGGCTTCACTTCTCTGAGTGGAAGTGGTAGGTGCATTGTTACCTCCCGTTTTAAAAGGACATCCTCCTTAGCTAGTTCGTAAGCTATCTCATTCGCTTTGATGCCCATATGACTTGGCATGCTGTAAATATAAACGCTTCCCTTCCGCGGGATTCCATAGTATTCATACACTTAGCGGTCTCTATCTTCCCGTATGTCCTGATTTTCAACTGAAACCGAGAAGCCTATGGCCTCGTGGTAGCTAGGAGTGCTCATTTTTTAGCTAAGAGATTCGATTGTGGAACTCTCAAAATCGCATCTAGCGCTGTAGATGATTTTGGTCTGATGTTGCTCACTACAAATCTGAAGACCTTCTGCAGCCTATCTAGGCATGTTATTTTTTTCATAGTCTTCCATTATATTAAAGCACCGTAGTATTGATTTAACAACCCCACGGCAGATCCAATGAAAGAAAGCGGGAAAGAGACCACATACTAAACCCGATATCATTTTATAGGTATTTAGGTCGGGGCATCAGAGCCGTTTTATTGAGGTTCCATTGCAACTTGCTATCAGACACAATTCCCAAGTATTTGATACCAGATTTCAGTTGGTAGCTACTACTAACGACTATACCTTAGACCACGGAAGAGTATACAGCGTTTCAAAATGTTTTCCATTCCCTATAGGATGGAATCCTTTGTGATCAGCTTTCATATGTGGAGAGTTTCAATGATCCGGAGATGTTACTTCGCTATGAGCCGCATGATTAATTAATCTTTAGTGACGTTGTTCAGATTGCATGAACTGTGGTCGTGAGAAGCAGATTTATAACCATTGCATTCATCTAAGCCCAACGCTACTCCAATTTTCGTGCCTCTTTTCGGCCGTCCTCCCCCTAAAGGATGGCCTTTCTCTGACAGAAGTACTACCAACAACATGACCTTTAACTTCATCTTTCCCTTACAACGTTGAACCCATTGAGCTACATTTCATTGCTTCAGAAAACCGCACTAGTAATGAAATCGACCTATCGGGACCCATGAAACTAAAATCACATCAAAACACCATCACACAGAGATAAAGCACGGGTTAGGTCGTCAAAAGAGTGACTGGTCTCGGCCGGATAAAATCTGGCCCAAATTTGGGGCGCAGAACCAGCTGTTGTGACAGTTGCAGACAGCGAGAGACCCGAGTAATACTGTCAGAATTAAGGTCTGAATATTGTAGCCGACTTAATTCTTACCTATCCAGACTGGACACGACATACCCTAGGAATGCCCGGCACGGTTGTTGCTCTCTTCGAATACCCCCTAAACCCAACTCATAAAATCCTGCATTCCCTCTGGTTCGAACCTACCCCAACAGCCCGTTTACTGGATCTTCCTTTAGATGACCTCACTGATTTAAAACAGTTTCGCTTGCTTGGCGAACCTTTGAAACAACAACGAAATCAAGGGAAAGTATGCATAAATGTCAAGGCTCGTTAGAGCACATTACTTAGCTTAATTCGCTGTGTGAGTCCTCCGGCTCTAAGCCCGTTTCCAGTCTGTATAATAAAAACCACAATTTTATTTACTTTTTATTTACATTTATGCGGTTTCCTAAAATCAAATCCAAAAGCAAATCCTTATCTTTATCTACTTAATTAAAGAGCTCTTCATATAATGCAAAATCCATGCAAACAAACTTAGGCATTATTGTTATCACTGTTGCCCGACGGCTTCTTGCCAAAGAATTTCTCATACTCCTCTTGTCTCTTTTGTGCTCTCGCCTCGCGCTCAATTTGTCGTTTCTTCGAGAAGCGCTGATGTATGCGTTTGGTCTCTTGTACCTCCTTCATTTCCTCCTTAACTTCATCCTGGAAAGAGATGGGTATTATTGAATCGGCCACAAAATAAGTTGCCTGTCCTTACGCTCATATTTAAACGCAACACCAACGCACGCCTGCCGTCCGACATTGGTTGACTGTAGTGCATGAAGTTCTTGAGCCGCTCCGCTGGTGGTACACTGCGCTCCACCACCAAAACTATACGCGCCCACTGACGTTGCCATTCGTTGCGTATTTCGGCAATCTTCTGATAGGTATTACCCATCATGGCGATCAACATGTTCACCAACAACACACTGACGATTACCATGAAGAGAAAGAAGAGTGTCTTCGCTTCATATTCATGCTGTGTCGAGGCCATGCCGCCGAAATAGTCACCGAAATTCGTGAGTGACATCAGAAACATTGCAACGATAGACTCCATTGGTGAGGGCATTGGATTCGACTCGGAGTCATCGATTTCCTCCGGTGTAGCGGGATTGTCAAAGGTGAGAAAAATAATATAGTAAGCTTGCGAGAAACCCATTACAAAAACCAAATAAATGGAGACAAAACGTATAAGATCACCCATGACCATGCGATAGATCATCACAACGAAGGGACCGACAGTTTTGAAGCCGCTAAAAGAGTGTGTGAGAGAGAGAGTATGACGTTTATAGTTCCCAAAGTTTACTTTATGTAACTCACCGACAGAAGAACAGAAAATAGGGTGCTGTTGTAAGCATAATAAATACCGCCACGTGGTCATCGATCTCAGTCAGACAAAACACCCTCAGCCAAGGTATAGACATCATCAGTGCGCAAGAGAAAAGAAACATGACACGCGAAGGTGCGGTCATCTGTGGGTGCATAAAGTGAGGTTAAAGTAAAGGTAATAAAGAAAATCGCCTACCATATTTTCGACAAACATTTTATAGCCCAGAAAGCGTGCCTCTCTCAGCGCGGCGAATAAATATAGAACCGAGCCAAAAAATATAATTATTTCCGCCACAATGCGTAGCTAAAAAGTGTGGTTATGTTGAGTAAATAGCGGATTTAGAAGATTTCAATGAAAACTACCTTCGCTAAGTCCGATTCCATGTTCATAAGCGGGCACTCGGCATAGCTCGCCCACCACGGTGGCACCGATTCCACGTCGTTGTCATCAAAGTAGTCTGTGAAGTTCAGCCAAAAGGTTTCTGCAAGGAGATTAGCAAAAAATCTAGTCATTGCAAACCGTACACGAGAAAGAGATGGAAGAGGCGGCTCACTGTATTCCATCTTGTCGATAGCACGCTTGATCAAGCGCTTGAACCACTGATCGCCACGTTGTAGCGGAGCCGTACTATTCGCTGCGCGCGTTACGGTAGCCTCAACGCTAGCATCAGCATCATCATCATCATCATCGTCCTCATTCTTTTCAGTCGGTCCTGGTCGCGAGATGAAACTGATTAATGAGAAGAGAAAATAGAAGGAGAACATATAAAACTGCTTGTAGAAACGCGACTTGACGAAGGACTCCCATTTGGTCTTCAACAAATCGATCACTACGCCATCCAGCAGCTCCAAGTGCTCCAGTTTGTCCTGTAAGAAATGTCCGTATTTAATAAGGCCGCATGGTGTGAAACTTAGTTGGTTGCCGGCGCTACTCACACCAAACACGACAAAATTCAAAACCGAGTCCTTATTGATATTACCCGTCTCCACATCGATTGTGTCGATCATCGAGAGTGGATATGCCGCACACGTTATGCTACCCAACTGCCAGTAGATCTCGCGTTCAATACTCAATATGTGAAAGAACATCTCGACGCGACCCAATTTCGCCGCCAACGTCAAAGCTGTCAGGTTTTGTACATTACGCAAATGTATATTAGTACCCACCTCGTAGGCCACATCGAACATTTCGATCTTTTCATAGATCACCAACATATGCAGCGAGGTATTACCGTTGGTGTCCTGCAGATTCGGATCAGCGCCGCGCGCCAATACCAAACGAAAACAGTCTTCTTGCGAGAGACAAGCAGCAAAACTCATCGGATACTCGCCCCAATAAACGTAGCCATCATAGTTGGTCATCGGTTGTACGCCGACATATTCATGATCGGGTGAGTCGTAGCGTGATGCTTTCTGATCCTCCGCGGACATGAAGGCGCCACAGCAGCTGCAAAGTAGAATGTCCTTAAGACAAACTCTCCAGTCTCACGGACACAACAAACAAACTTACCGTTCTTGCACATCAGCGCCTGCGTCGAGCAGATACTTAACCATTGCTGGATCTTCGTTAACGATCGCGATATGCAAAACGCTCTCACCATAATACTCATCACACATATACACATCCAGTATGAGTTTGGGATAAAACTTGAGCAGACGTTTCGCCAGATCGGCATGCAGCGATGAGGCATTCAACAGACAGAGATGCAAGATAGTCTCACCGACAGCGCCACGTTCCTGCAATGACAGTTTATTACGAAAGATCTAACGCTAAAGTGTCAAAACACAATTGCGTACATTCAAATTCCAGCAAACATAACGATAAGCACTCGGATTCGATATGTACTCAGCCTCCGAAACCTCGGTACAATGATCGTGTATATTAAAATCTTCATCGGGATTCTCCATTGCTCTAATCTCAGGCAGCTGCTTGGTACGCGCACGCTCTTTATTACGCAACAGCACCAACTTCGATATGGGAAAGTAGCGACCAGCGCCTTTATTGTAGAGAAAAGGTTCCACCTTCGTCTTAATGGCATGATCGATCTCTGCAAACTGCTTTGTCTGACAAGCGCGCTTCATCATGTCCACCAGCAGGCCGCCGCCTTTGAGATTAACGAATTTGTAGAGTGCTTGCGTGGAGACGCCAGCTTGTTTCTTAACGCCGCTGGTAACATTGCTCTCGGTATTCCCCATGGCTTAGAAAGGTGCTCAGAACTTTTATGTGGAAGAAAGGTGTAAGCAAGCGCCTCGCTGAACACACTATTCGCGCATAAGACCCTTCCAAGGGTTCAACCTCGCTGCTTTTACTTGTGATACCGAGTGTCGTATTGAAGAAATTTTCAGCTTATAAACTTAGCTCTTCCGTGCACTTTATTCTCGTGTGATATACATAAGATATTTGTAACCCATTCATAGGACGGACCCCGTAGATTTTACCTATAGTCTGGGCTGACGTATTAACGAAGTTTTTAGCGTTTTCTTTGCATCTTTCCGTGGTCCAGTGAAGAAGCCTTAGAGCTCAAAGCCTTGAATACTTTAACATTTCGTACGTCCTGAAGAAATATACAAGGTCTCGAGCTCTTCAGTGTTGCTTAACCAATTTAATAGTCTCCACTCCACTTTTAAAGTTTTCTTAAGCGAATTTCTTGCGTCAAACCCTTTTAAAACACTTTTTCCTTAACCAAAACTCTACAAAAGTAGTGCTCCGCAAGAGAAAACTTCACTTTGCTAGAGCTCGTTTGAAAAATTCCATTGATTTAACAGCAAGTCGGCCATCGGCGCGTTGCTTAGCAAATTTCACTTTCAGATTTTCGTTTGTAACTCTGAAGTGGAACGAAAAAGGCGCGAAACATGTTTACCTTGACAGTTCCAGTGATGAGTGGTGAGGAGAAATCTGGCAAAGTGTCCGTCAAAGGGCAGAGCCCGACAAACAAAACTCGCTCGCAGACACGTGTAGTTTTTCAACACAATTAAAGGGTTATTCAAGTAACGGTGTCTGCGTGTGTGTGTGTCTCAAAATCTTGTAAACATAGCTTGTTTATAAACAACTCGTTGAGTGCCAGCCGCGTGTCGCCAGCAAATATTTACTTACAGGTGAATGCACGCCAACGACCGCCACCCAAGAGACATCAATGAATGACTGTGTTATGCAAATTTTGTGTCCTTGTTGTCAGTTTTATTCTCCACTTTCTATTAAAGAGACCAAAAAACGAAATTCAAATCAATTTTACACGCGAGGCCTTCGCTGAGGGTAAACAAATGTGGCTTTGATCTAGTTAAAGGTGAATGAACCCGGTTGTAAGCTTTTTGGCAAATGTAAATAATACTGCGCGACAAGTAGACGCCTTAGATAGCGCGAGATTCAAACAAGCAGGGAATCAATTTAAGCGACTTTGGGCAAGTCTTCCCGAATCTCGGTCTCAAAAATTGCAATTTTCTTCATGAATCAGGTTATATCTTGGCATATGTTGGTGGATCAAGTCAAATCTTTCTTCCTTCACTTGTTCTCTTCAACTGTATGAAGAAGACATCGTTTTCTCTACCACTAACGTTGGTTGGCACCATTGGAAAAGCTCAAGATTTTCCGCCACTTTTTTCCTCTCCTTCTTCTTCCTCTTCTTCTTTTCGTCTTCTTATTTTGTTTGCTTTTCTTCCTCTTCTTTCATTCTTTCAAACTAGACAACCGTATCTAAAACCTCGCCCAGTCACAGATTGCAGCCAAATGCTCGTCTAAACGAAGGTGATGGCAACCTTAACTCTCTCGGGTATATAAACTTACTTAGTTTACTGGCGTAGACCCCGCTTACGCGATTTTATAACAACGCGCCGTTCATTCCTCTTCTTGCTGCTTGGCACCGGATTGGATTGGAGATACCAAGTGAAGTCAGATCACTTTCCACCTGATCTTTCCAACGGAGTGGAGGTCTTCCTCTTGCTTGACTTCCACCGGCGGGTACTGCAGCGCAGCCGCTGCTTCTTGATTCGCTGAACTATGTCAATGTCGCCGTATATCTCATACAGCTTATCATTATATCGGCTGCGGTATCCGCCGTCTTAACACGTAGAGGACCTTTTCTCTCGAAAACTTCTAACGCCGACTCATTAAATGTTGTCATCTTCCATGCTTCCGCACCATGTAGCAGGACGGGAACGATGAGGGACTTGTAGAGTTTGGTTTTCGTTCGTCGGGAGAGGACTTTACTTTTCAATTACCCACTCAGCCCAAAGTAGCAACTGTTGGCGAGAGTGATTCTGTGCTGAATTACCAGGCTGACATTGTTGTTGGTGTTGATGCTGGCTCCTAGATAAATTATCTACCACCTCAAACCGTCAACAGTGACGCGAAAGCCGAGTCATGAATGCAATGACTGTTTTTGTGATGGCTGGAGATATTTCGTCTTGCCCTCGTTCATTACGAGACACATATCCCACGCTTCCTTATCCAGTCTGGATAAAGCAGAACTCACGGCGCGGTTGTGTTGAGGCCAACCAGTATAAACCAGTTGGAAATTTAGCATTTTTTTAATTAATGGACCGAATCTTTCAAGTGTATATCCTTCAACCAAAGACTGTTATGCCGAATATACCTTCTTTGCCCACCCCAGTGTTTATGTCGCCAACCACAATTATGACAACGTGACGGGTACAGCGCTGATAACTACGCTCCAAGCGCGCAAAAAAGTTATCTTTGCTTACATTGTACTTGACTATCGTCGTGGTAGGGGCACAGATCCACCGTGGTGAATGTCTCGATCCAACGTCTTTCTCCCACACGAATATCGACACAAAATTTCGAGCTCCTTTATATAACCGCTGTAGCAACAATCACAAAGACCACCTTGTATCCGTTCTTGTCTTGTCCAAAACAGTTTTTGGACCGCCAGGGAGAGACAGACATTCTAGTTGTATGCCCTATCATAAGTCCTCCTCAAAATGGAGATTTTTCATCTGATTATTTTGTTCTTTTTTTTGCGGAGGGTCATAAGCCCAGCGCGCGATCTCACTAGGCGAGTGGAATTCGATTTTTGACACGCTTGGCTTAGCCACACTTCCGTTCAACAGACGCTCTTGACAAAAACAGACAAAGGCTCTAGTAAACTAGTGATCTACCCTTCGTATCTCCAGTCTCGTCAGGACTAAATGACCAGTACTTTAACCTTGCGGCTGAGTGATTCGAGCTCCTTTTTTTGTTGATATGGCTTCCACCACTTTAAATTAATTTCCCATAGATTCTTCGGGAAGGAACCATGTATAACGCGACATCGACAGGCCATGAATGTCATTCACAGAGAAATCAGTCAAGAATTTACCCGCTGTGAGACATGCATGGCGGTGACCAAAATCCAATACTTTCCATGATCATTGGGTTTTTATACTGGAACCATCAGAATTTTTATCCAGGAAAGGACTGTCATCCGCGCAATATTCTCCGAATATTAATTTGAGGGAATATTTTTGCGGTTACAAAAACAACAACAAAGCCAATCAATATCTTTCTCAACTTTTATCCAATAAACATCGCCTCTGCAGTCCGATCACCACCTATAACAGGCGAGTAGGTCTAGCTGAACCGTGAGACGCTCTGTCAAAATCCTGTGGCAAAATCCTTGCGAGACCTGGTTAATACTTGCACAATTAAGGTCTGGATACTGTAGTAGACTCTACTATTACTAATCGATACTTGACCCTGAAATATTTACCTCTTCCTCTCTGTCAGGCAGGTGTATGTATGAGCTACGCAACAGAAGAATTCAGAGCAATCCTGATGCGAGCCGTTGATTAAACCTAGAAAAATATGAACCATCATAGCTCAGCACACCTCCCTTGGGGCTGTAACACCAACTAGCCTTCTTTTCTCTTAAAAATTCAAACAGATTAAAACAATAAATTTTATATTTTCGAAACATGCATGTATACATTTGTTTATTGAATTCTTATTATTGTTTCACAATAAATATTGTTAGTAATTGTAGTACATAATTTATTTATTTTTTTTTTTCTTTTTCTTCAATATTTGCATTTATTACTGAAAAAAAAAATATGGAAAACAGTTACTGAATACAAAAAGGACTTTTCTGTGAATAAAATACATTTTTTTTAATTTTGCTTGATTTTCAATCTTAAAAAAAAATTAATAATTTTATAAAAAAACATTCAAAAATTGTTTATAAATATGTATTTTAACGCTTGAAAAAAATTAAGTAAATTTATTTTAAGAATTTGTAAGTAATACTAATCGAGTTAATACATATGTGCTTATATAAAATATGTATGTGTATATATAAAATGGACAAATTAGGTTGAAAGTCGCAGCTCCTTTGGAAGGTTTAAAGCATAAATATTATTTGTGATGCAAAGTTTTCCCATTGCAAGCAACCGTTATTTTCTTTTTATTAAATAATATAAATCTAAATATAAATATACATATGTATAAGCCATTGCAATAAATTGTAAATATATTAGTTTTTTTTTTTAATGCTTCAGAGGACGCAATAAGGACGCATTGTTGTGACAACAGAAAAGAGTTAAAAAAAATATTTTTATATTGATGAAAAATTTCAAAAGATATGTATGTGTGTATGTGCGATTTGAAAGCACTTCTTCTACTGTAAAAAAAATAATTTTGAGAGCGGTGACAGTGTCAAAAAAATAATAATGTAAAAATATATAATAAAAAAAATATAATAATAAAAATAAAAAAATATAATTATAAAAATAAAAAAAAAAAACTGTAAAAATAAAAAAAAAAAAATAAAACAATAAAAATAAAAAACAATAATATAAAAACATAAAAAACAATAAAAAATTAAAACCAATAAAAAATAAAAGAAAAAATAAAAACATTCGAAAAAACGCATATAAAAATTAAAAAAAATTAAATAAGAAATTAAATTTTTTAAGAAAGTAGCAACGTAAAAAATTAAGACTTTTTAAAATACAAATTTTCAAAATAATAAAAACATAAAAACAGTTAAATAAAGAAAAAATCTTTAAAAAAAATATAAACATTAAAAAAATTAGAAAAAAATATATAAAAAATTAAATTTTTCAAAAAAGTAAAAACATAAAAACAATAATAAAACAATTAAAACCAAAAAACAAAAAGAAAAAATTAAATAAAAGAATAAAGAATTAAAACGCATATAAAAAAAATAAAATAAAAAAAAATTTTCAAGAAAATAGAAACATAAAAAATTAAAACTTATAAAATTCAACTTTTAAAAATAATAAAAACATAAAACAGTTAAATAAAAACAATATAAACAAATTAAAAAAATATATAAAAATTTAAATTTTTCAAAAAAGTAAAAACATAAAAAGCAATAATAAAAATTTAAAAAAAAAATACAAATAAATATATTAAAAAACGCATATAAAAATTACAAAAATAAAATAAGAAATTAAATTTTTCAAGAAAATAGCAACATAAAAAATTAAAACATAAAAAACAAAAAATTTATAAATAATAAAACATAAAAAATTAATTAAAAACAAAACATTTTCAAAAATATAAAAATATAAACATTAAAAAAGAATACAAAAATTTTATAAATAATAAAAACATAAAACAATTAAATAAAAACAAATTATTTTCAAAAAAAAAAAATAAAAATATAAACATAAAAAAATATATAAAAATTTTAATTTTCCAAAAAAGTAAAAACATAAAAAGCAATAATAAAAAAATAAAACTAATAAATAAAATAAAAATTAAAGAAAAAATAAAGTAAAAAATTACATTTTTCAGGAAAATAGAAACAAAAAATTAAAATATAATATACAAAAATTTTATAAATAATAAAAAAATTACATAAAAAAATATATTCTAAAAATAAAAAATTAAATAAAAAAATATATTCTAAAAATAAAAAAATAAACATTAAAAAATTTTCAAAAAAAAAATATATAAAAATTTTTCAAAAAGTAAAAACACAAAAAAATGTAAATTTTAATTTTCGAAAAAAAAACAACAAAACAAAATAAATAGTTTCCTTCAAAAATATAATAACATTAATAAATAGAGAATAAGGAAAAATTAAAACAGTTATAAGAAATAACAAAAAAAATTTATAGATATGAGCGAATTACGGCTGCAGTTTTTGGCCAAAAAATAAATTAAATCACTCACTCGCCATAAGCACAGGTGCAGAAATGCCATTTTCAATGTAATTTTCAATGCACAACTTTCAACAATTTAAACAACAAATTTACACAATTTACAAAAGGAAAATATTTAACAAAGTCTCATTTTACAAAAAAAAAAAAAAAAATTGTTTTTAATATTATTGTATAATCTCGTTTACCGAACGCAATCGTTTTTTAATAAATATTATACATATGTTATATGTATGTGACTTTTATACAGCTTGGCACTAATAGTATTGATTTTTAACGGTACTATGTTTTCAAAAATTTCTTTTCAGTTATGATCGTTTATAATAAATACCAAAACAAAACAATAATTGTTTTTAATAATTAATTTTTTTTTTTTTTTGAAAATTGTCTAGTTTTACAATGAATTTTTATAAATATTCTTCATTAATGTATGTATGTAGTATAGAAAAATTGTTTTAAAAATGCATCAAAAATTTCGTGTGTTTATGTGTTGACGTGAGTGCGTAAAATTTTGGTTACATTTTGAAAATTTCTTGCTAATGTATTTTAATTAATTTAATTTTATTTTATTCATGTAAATTCCGCGTGTTTGCTGTGCAGCGCAGCTGTGGGTTATAAGTTTTTCTCTTTCAAAATTTATTACTTTTTGAAATTTTTTTGATGTCGTTTTTTTTTTTTGTGTTTAGCAGTCATTAGTCTTCAGCATTGCGCATTGTCGTTAAATGTTTTCATATATGTAATTATATATATTTGCGGGTTTGTTTGTATGTATGTTGCTATAAAAATGCATAAGAATTCAATTGCTTCAATAGTATTAGGAGTTTCTTACTAAATTTTCGCAGTTCATTTTTCATTAATTGTGCTGTTTTGTTGTTGCAATGTTTTTTTACGGTTTTTACGGTTGCTTTAAAGTAGCATCAATGGTGTGTGTTTATAGTTTTTGAATTGATTTGTTTGATTTTCAATTTTTGGTGTGCTTTTAATTTTAATTTAATAAGTTTTTTATTTATTTTTTATTTCATTATTATTATTTTTTTTTTGCTTTGCTTTAATTTGCATTTGTAAAAGTTTAAGAAAAACTGTAAAATTCTTTTTTTGTTCATCAAATCTGTGGTTTTCTTCCCTTTGTGTGTATATATGTATGTATGTATGTATGTGTGTAATTAATTCCCTCTTTTATTCATTTTTAGTTAATAATTTCGACATAATTTGCCGGAAACAGTCCATAAGTTCCATCTGGTCCGAGACCTTGCCACCAGCCTTCATCGATTTGATCGATATGCGTGATGAGATCGCCCGGATCGAAAGTAATCTCTGATTCATCAGCTGCGGCGAGAGAAATGAAATAAAAAATTAATAATCGATCCATAGTAAAATTAATCGATTAATTAGAGGAATCGATTTTATTTATAATTATGCCTGAGCTCTTCCATCTTTTCGGCTAGCTAAGGCTGAAACCTAGAGGATTGTGTTACATGTGTAGGTTGATGGTGTCATGTTGTTGTTGTTGTAACCGCAAAAGCATTCCCTAAGGTAGAATTTGGGGATGTTGCGAGACTAACAGGCCGCGTCGTTTTTTCCGTTTTTGTTCGTCGAGAGAGGACTTCACTTTTTAATTGCCTACTCAGCCGAACGCAGCGCCTGTTGTTGAGGGGAAAAACTTTGACTAGACTGTTAACTGGCCCGCTGTAAACCGCTTCCAGGGCGCGTAGATAGCTCGTTGGATTCAACGGTTCTGTTCGTATTGCTAAATGGAGTCGGTATTGTCTAGTTATTTCTTCTGGGGGCGGTTCTGTTTCATGCAGAAGTCTTGGTATTTTATAATCTCTGAAGGCGCTTTCCGATAAGCGTCTTGATTTCAACTTTTTGATGTACCTCTAAACAGCAGATGGATCATTATGGGCTATAAAACTGGACCCTAATTGTGCCGGGCGTGTCTCCCACGAAAACCGATACAACCCAACAGAGTGTAAAGTGAATTTCCAATCCGATCCGCTTAGTTTGCTTTGTAATGGATATTTCAAAGATAGCGGCTCGCTGGGTTAGATGACGACCCCGAGTACAGACTCCAAGAATGAATTTCTAGTGTTGTTCTTGTTGCTGTAGCCGCTTGCGCAAAACCGCAACGTCGATAACAGCTAGTGTGAGATCCAGGACGAAACCTGTTTCAGCAGTTTCAGAACAGAGGGAGAGTGACTTTAAATGAGTAGGATTCAGTGGTCATGCAAAGAGATAGTTAGTCCGGAACTCATTGCCTAAAGAACATACGTTAAGTATGTCAAAATTAAAGTCGGGATGGGTAGGAGCTGAGTCTACTTCAGCATCTAGACCTTAATCGTGTTAGTACCTCGTCTGCAAGTCTCTACGGCTTGACCCCCACAACAACCGGTTCAACTCTATTTACGGTTGTTACTTTTTCGACGAACCCGAAAAACTTTAGGGGAACAACAGGATCTAAAAGTCTCCAAGTTTGTCCTGACAACGGTAATCCCAATTGTCTCTATTGTCTCAATCCTAGAATTTTTAAATAACAAGAGACAAAACACCACACAATTGAACTCGAAGTTGGCCGTAACCAGCCCGTCTACGAATTGGTGGGTTATACATTTACTAACCTGCTTGGTAATCGTACAAAGCTCTGGCTTTCAATCCAACATCGCCTAAAGACTCCTGGCAAATGAAGTCATCTTCGTTAACCAAATCAGTCACTGCAAACGAAAATATATATAAATCTATGGACTTGAGTAGAGGCAATTAGCATGTGACACTTACAATCATTTCTATCCAAAGTGCTGCTCAAACCATTCTTTACCGATTGTGGCTGTTGCACCGTTACGGACACCTTTGTGCGCACCTCCTCCTCCTCTTCCAACTCATCACCCTCATCGTCTTGATCCTGATAGACAGCCGTATCGGTCGCATTAGACGATGAAGTCTCTGGCGATTGTAGTGAATTCGATTTGCTGTGCGGTGAACGTTTTATAGTGGAATATTGTTCCTCATTCTCGGCAGCATAATCATCAGCTGCCGAGGGCACATCATCATTATTGGCAATTGCGGTAATTTCTGGTTTGACAGGTGCCTCCACATCTTCTATCTGCTCTTCCTCCAGTGCATTCGTTGCCAACGCCGGTGCCACGGCGACTGCCGCAACACCAGTGGCAGTAGCGGCAGCAGCAGCAGCAGAGGCAACAACAGGTGCAATCGACACCTGTGTTGGTGTCAATGTGGATGTGTGCACAGTGACAGTGGCCGGTGAAGGCGCACGTTGTGTGATGGTATGTACAGCAGTTGCCTGTTGTTGTGGCAGTTCCGTCTGTTGTTGTGTGTTATTAATGGCGCCAACATCTTCGAATTTCGATAGCGCAACTTTGCCTGGTGTAGGTGAGGGTTTACGCGGCTCCGTCTCAACGGGTTGTGGCTGATTGAAGGCGTTAATGCGTTGCGCTATGGAAGTGCGTGCAGGTTTGGCAGGTGGTGCGGTATTTAATCTGGGTAAAGATAATAAATAAACAATTGGTTGAAGCGGAAAATAGAGAACGAGAGAGATATAGAGCGAGAGTAAACCTACTTCGTTTGCAATTGGCCTTGACTGGTGTTTTGCGTGAAAATTGCTTTAGCCGCAATGACACGCGACCCAATAAGTTCGCGCGCTTCCTGATTACGCTGTTGACGCATGCGTTCAGCTTCAGTCATGCCGGCGGTGAAATTGCCAGCGACAGTCTTTTCGGGACTCAGCGGCTGTGGTGACCTGGCATATTACAGAGTTAAACCTAAACACACAATCCAAAAATCAATTAGATGTTTTACTCACGTCTTAATCGGCACATGCGCCGGCTGTAGTTTGGATGTGCTAATCACTTTCTTTTCACGCTCCAAATGCTCCTTCTCTTCGCGTGCACGCTGCTCCTGCTCGAGTTTATGCAGCTGTTGTCGCTTCGTTTCCTTCTCAGCGGCTATGCGTCGTTTCTCCTCCTCCTTCTTCCAGAAGTCTTGCATCACACTGGCATTCAACTCTTTGGTCGGTATGACACGCGTGTAATTTGTGCCAACCGGTGTCTTTTGTTCATCCTGCACACCACGTGGCTCCTTGAAGCTATACGTCGAGCTGACGGCGCTCAGTTTCTTAACCAAACGTTCCAAGTCGATGTCGTCTTCATTGCGTGCATTTATTGTTAAGTGCGCACCGGAAAGCAGCTTGGCGACATCGTGTATGTGATTGGCGCAAGTGCCTTTGCGCAACACTGGTGCGCCTTCGCCCTAAAAAAAAGTAGGAGATAAGAGTGTTAAGAAGGGTAAAGAATATTAAATATAACAGTTTTTTATTTGTTTTTTTTTTAAGGAAAACAGCCGCAAGTGTCGATAAGATACTGAATTAAATATAAATTTGTGATAAGCTTTATCGTAGACGGCGTCATTGGTGTTTACCATGCGTTTTACTACATACTGACGCGATAAGGAGGACAATTTAATTTAAATAAAATTTAAATAAATAAAGTAGACTACAAATAAGGGTATACTAGGTTCACCATACAGATTTTCGCCTGCTGTCTTTTTGATTTTGATCCCTTACATCTTCTTTAGGTACACGTAAAACTTGGAAGACCCCAGATACATGTTGCTTTTGTAGCAGATAGATTGCGCCGCTTAAAAGCAGGGAAGGCTATTCGATGTCATCGGAAGGCGGAACAAACTAGCTGCTTCGATGAGTTCGGACGAGAGGGCGAATACGTTTTGTAAACAATATTAACGCTATGTAGATCATGATACAGTCCGGATAAGTAGGAGTTGAGTCTGCGAGGTAGCTCAAGTCATTCGCCTGTTGTAGTAGGTTTGGATTGCGATTGACAAACTCTGTTGTGAATGGCGTTTAGGGCCTGTCAATGGTTTTTCCTCTTCAACGGCGCTTTTCAGTGATGCCAATTCGCATCCATAAAGCCAAATACTACTTCCGTTATGTCCCTGAGGAGTGGTTCAGCTTCATATAAGTGTCTGCAAGAACATACTTGTCTTGCATGCTACCAGCAAAATTTCTTTGTCTTGCCACAGGTTTTTTCATTTCGAGACTATATATATACTCTAGAATATGCTTGGCCGTAAGTTGAGCGAATGTCCTATCCAGACAGACGAGAATGTAAAGTCATTATCTATTGTACTTTAGACACTCAGGTCTGGTACTACTTCTTCCGTGGATTCTGTTAGCGTAAATGTTAAGTTTCTAACAGTACAGAGTGGACGTATTTAGCACCATATTAATCAAGTGGTTAGCAGTTTGTATTACAGTTCGGAACAACATAAAATAATAAGCATCTCATAATTCATTGGACGTTCGGAGTTTTTTGGGAATTGCTGGGAAGGCCTTAAGGTGCACACCAAAAATTTGAGGAAGATCTCGATTTAATATATTATATAATATTATTTATGATTAAATAGGATTTTCCTTACTTGTTCAGTGCTGTCACCCTTTCGGCATCTAACTCTGTTAAGATCTGTTGTTGTTGTTGTAACCGCAAAATTATTCCCCAAAGTACTTTTTGGGGAATGTTGCGGGAGTGACAGTCCTTGGCCGGATAAAAATCCGGGTCGTTCCGCTATAAAGACCCGACTGTCGCGGGAACTATTGGATTTTAGTCGCCTCTTACAACAGGCATGTCTTACCGCGGGTAAATTCTAGAGCCCCTAACCCGCAGGGGTTATTTAAGATCTGTAGTAATAGCTGCTATATATTATATGTATTCCACATCTGAATTTGTACGATCGAAAAAGTTCAATACGATTTCACTAGCTTCTATTCACCACTGCTTTGATAGGGGAAAAATGTACTTTAGAAGATAAGCAATTGCTAAGCCTTAGCAGAGATAAAAAGACACTTACGTATATTGTACATGAATTTACACGGGGAATGCGAATCGTAAGAGTCGTCTAAACCCCACCAGTGCCCACAACAGTCGCAAACGACTCGGATTATATCCGGATATGTACTGTTACTCACACAACATCCCTCAAAAACAATTTTGGGAAATATTTTGGCGGTTACAATAACAAGAGTCTCGGTCACCTCGCGCATACTAACCTGCCAATTGATGAGTAGAAACTTTTTCAAACCCGTCTTTGGATCCTCAATGCGCACAAAAGCATACATAATTTTGCCACTGTTCAGATCCTCGCATAACTCCTCCACGCCACCCTCACCACTGCCGACAACCTTCAGTTCATTCGTTTGACCTTCGTAGCCATAAAGTGACCTGGGGGGAAGAGTAAAGTAAACATGAATATTAATTATTAAATAATGAGCTATGCAGTTAAACATGTGTTTGTATGTATGAATGTGATATGAAAACTTAATTTTAAACGACTCATGCAATTCGGTGCTCAATAACAGGCCGAGCGAACACAACACTCAAAGGGCATAAAGGCATTGAATGAAGTACGGAAAAGATGACATTAATTGTGGCATAATTAAATTTTCTGTGCATGCAGCAACTCAAATGCACTTAACGTGCTTGATTCAGTTGCATAAATGCATATGTATGTATGTAGTGGCGTGTATGTGACTTTTTAGAAAACTAGGCGAAATAATAAATGTTGAATAGTATCTACTAAAGCATCAAGTAGAATGACGAAGGCGAAGATAGAGTTAAAGCAGTTGTGTGAAGAAAAATTTCAAATTCACAATTCAACCGTTAGGTGAGTTAATTAAAAGTTGACTGACTTTCACAACAACATGTGGGTACATAAGATGAAAATACACTGTTATACGTGTATGTGTATATGAAACAAAGCAGCACACAAAATTACTTCCGTGCATATAGAGGGTTATCCATTTCGTGGTTTCAAAAGTGCAACGCTGTATTTGGACTGCCGTCAAACTTAATTGTCAAGCCAAAATCAAAAATGTTTTGTTTTAGCTAAAAGTCAAGTATTTATGAAAATAGATCGCCTAATAACCGCACGATGCGTTCAAATTTTTGAAATCTACTACAAAAAGGTTGATCCAAACAGGGCCACTTTTCGTGCTTTATGAGAGCAAATTATGGCGCACATAATCGTCCAACTGATCAAGCGATAGTTTGATTTTTAAAGATATTTGAAGAGGCTGGATTATCAACGTCGTTTGGATGCTTGAACAATACGCACAACGAGACGAGGGGCAATTCTCACTCGTGGGATATGTAAATAAGCAATATCGTCGCATTTCGGGCTCCGAATAACCTCAATTAATGGAATCGACGCCATTACACCCAAAAAACTTATTTACTTACTTACTGTGTGGTGCGCTCTTTTGTACAGAATTGAGTTCGGACCTGTCTTCTTTGAAAACTATATAGAGAGAGACTATTACTGTAAATGCTTTATGCCACACAACACGAAAAATTGGCATTATTGTTAGGGAAATATTATGGTTCCTTTAAGCGATATCAATTGGACACTGAGATATTGCGATTTAACACCGTTAAACTTTTTTTGTGAGCTACGCTAAGAATCAAGTTTAAGTGGATACCCATTTAGACCTTGAGCACATCAAAACCATAGCATATTTTAGGCCTGAAAATCACACATAATAAAACTTATTTATTTTGAAGTTCATCGTCTTCCATTTCGACATGAATATTCTTTTTTTTTTACTTTACCTACTGGCAAATGTAATTTGACAAGGACGAGTGGTGCCAAAGCTTTTTCAAACATTGTCACCAGTTCGCCAGAATACCAAATTCAGTTTCGGTTGTTAAAAAAAAGTAAAAAAATTTACTTTACCGGTAACAGTGAGAAAAGACCTGATAATGTCAAATTTTATAATTAAATTAGAGTTTTAAGAAAAAAATTATTACAAATATAATTTATTTTCAAAACCACAAAATGGATAACCCTGTATATATGTAGTAGTGTGTGTATATTTCTCCATCACTATTGCTTGGTGTTTTAAAGACTTGCATACACTTTTACGAAACTCCATTCATTAGCAAATTTACTATTGTTGCAACATAGAGGTCACATGAGGTAGATATTGTCACAAGCTACATATCTTTTTTTTACTTTTAAATTTTCTAACGCCAATCTAACGGTGTGCCAGAAAGTTAGTTTCAGTTTATAGACTCTTTTTTTCACACATTTCAAATGAGATTCATTTTATGGATACTTTCAAATATTGCGCATACATACATACATACATATTACCATATGTAAATCTCCACAATAATACTTGTTAAAGCAAGGTGTCAGCTCAGATTGGCTAGAAATTTTAAACGGAGTTATTACTAAAAAATTTTATATTCCTCATTGGAAAATTTTAAGCGCTCCTTAAAGATTTCTCTGGTCGCTGCCTTCAGAGCAACGCGCGAAATAAAAAAAAAATAAAAATTGTTCCAATCTGCGCGTTGCATCAATGGCTGGTACGCCGGTTGATTTTATAAACTTTACAAAATACAAAATACTGAAACATTTTCATATGTAGCTATGTATGTATATAAAGTGCAAGCAATTCTTTATATTTTTATTACACCTTGCAGCTGCGATCTCGCATTAAAGTTGAATACTAATGACTAAGGCTTTTGTACACCTTTCCGGTTTTCTTGCATATTTTTGTACATACATATATACACAAATGTATATTTATAAAAATATTTATTCGTTTGACTCATGCAAATGCAAATATTTGGTTTTTAGAACTTAGAAAAATTTAAATACCAAGTAAATATTTATAAATTTACATACATATGTACATAACTGCTTATGAGTGATTTAACAAAAGGCAAGAAATGTCTCAAACCAATTTAAAATTCTATATAAAAGCATAATTTAATAGTAAATGCAGCAAATGCCTTACTGATTTTTGTTTAATATAATAAAAACAAAAAGATACAAAAGCATAGATTAACAATTTGGAAAATATTTTAATATTTTTCATACTGTTTTTAAGCAATAGGAAGTAGATAATGGTAGAGAATTTTACACGACTTCTACTTTATATTTCATCTAACCAGAAATCAGTTTTAAAATGCTAGAGAAGATAGCTAAATTATGTGAGTTTTCTTAAACAAAATTTAAAATTATAAAATTATGATTTTGCCTCAAATAGATATATTCTGTTTTTACTTTACAATTGTATTTTTTTCCTTTCCATTAAATTGCTTACATATAACTTATAATAATTTATAATAACCTTACCAGTTAGTACTGCTTTTGTCATCCAACACATCTTTCCAAGCGGCGACAATTTGTGCGCGATGCTTCTCGAAACTAATGGCCATTTTATGTTTTTTTTTATTTATAATTTATAATAGCCGTCGCCTGGCACTGTAAATTTAACTGACGTTATTACCTATCCAGCCAAATAGCTTTGCCTTTTTGGCTATGAATCAACACACTATTGCAACTCTAATGCCGACGACCTTGAAAGAGTTAGCTTTGGCAAAACGCCACGTACGGCACGAATTGGACACCCGTTTGGTTGTGACTGTGGCAGCAACGTTGGAACGCCGCCTGTTTAACGACTTGACGTTGCTTGTATGCGCTTCAATGAATAACAAGCCGCCGGCCAATGGTTTTTTTTTTATATTTCACACACTTTCCTTCTGCACTTTGCCGTACGCGAACTCACGCATTGACACCTGCGTAGGAATTAGCTGCACGTAACTATTTATATAAAAAAAAGCAGAAAAATATGTTTACATGCGTGAACACCTGCTAGCCCCTCCTACTTTCATACGATTTTTGTTCAACTGAGTTAACTTTACGACTGATTTACACACACGACGCACTCAAACCCTACTTTTGCTGGGCTACTTTGCTTTTTAAACACAATTTTTTTCCGCCTCACGCCGACACACTAGACAATTATTAATTCCATGCAAGTGATTTTCTGTTACTGCGTGGGTGTCAATGTCTTCTTGGGCCTTGCTGATGATGATGATGATAATGTTGTTTGTGTTCTGTGCTAACTACACCACCGATTCACACTTAAACACGGTAATCAGCCTTTCGTGCTGCCGCTGTCACTCCGTTGCCTCTGCCAACGTCTCTGCTGCTAACGAGTGCTTTGGCTTTTTGGTGCTTTCAAAATTGATTTTTCTGTTCAGTGCACTGGAATTTTACATTTATTCATTGCAAAGATGACACCATTCCAACACTATTCACTACAATTTTTGCGTATTTGTATTTGTAAAATGATTTTCTTACATTAATTTATAATTTTCTATAATTTGTGGACACACGAAATTTCTATTTGTAGTTTTGTTATTTAGCGACAATTCGCTGCCACTGTTTTCGATGGCTGCGGTGAAGTGTTTGAAATTCCAATTGGGTGAATTGGCAAAGCGACTCTGTGCAAAAGAATTTCTTAACAGCGGACAGGGTTGCATTTTACCAATGGTAGTGCTGGAAAAATCTCATATTTTTGAGTCTCGAACCAAAGAACGTATATGAATGTGCGTTCCTTCGTTGTGACAGAGAACGTATAGAAATTCATATGATGGCAAAAAGCAATTTCATTAACATATATGAATTCTTCAGTTTAAATACCGTTTCAAGACGAACTCCAGAGAACTCTTTAATTTACGTTCTCTTACAATAAGACATTCATCTATGCCAATACTCCGCCTACAATTTTTGAGAAGTTATGTTGAAAAGCTCTTTATGGAGAATCTATTTTAGTTTAAACTACTTTTTTGCTCGTATGATTTGGGCCAAAATTAATAAAATCGAATAATTAGGAAATGCTGTTTCTAAAAACTGTATATCTGATTAAAGACACAAACCTCTCCTTCATTTCAAATCTACACACCGGAAATAAAACAGAACCCAAAACTGGCAACTGTCATTTTCGCCATTAACAAAGCAAAATTACCGATGACAGTACAGCTGTTGCATCCGATGGCCGTCCAATAGTAATGGCGCTGTTGTCTACATTCCATTCAAATTCCGCACATACCACTGGACAAACAAACCAAAAAGAAAAATACACACTTTTATAAAAATCTATAGCAAAAGCACTAGCAACGAAACGTAACGTAACGCAAAGAAAGATTCATATAGCCAAAGAGCAAACGTTTTCGGTGACGGTGTCAGTGTCGGTGGTAATATATATCTCTTAGCTTGGTTACTTACTAATTTGCTCGTCGTCGAACGCTGTATCAGACGATTTTCTCCACTGGTCGCGCTGGGTTGACAAATTGTGAAATTTGCGTTCGGAATTCCAATCAAAACGTTGTGTGTTTTCGGTGGCAAATTGCATTCGAAGTGATTATCAAGTGAAATTTTCACTATTTAAATATATTCATTGTTTAATCTTTCTATTTACACTTGAAAGCCGTGATATACATATGTATGTATGTATGTATGCACAAGCATATGTACATACTTATTTGAAGAGCATTTATTGCATTTAATAGCAAAGTTGACTTTGCAATCAAAAATTTCTACTACGGTAGCCAGTAGATCCGTCTCCGGGGTTTGAGGAAGTAACTGAACAAAAGAAAAAAAATCACAAATTCGTGTCGGTGCAGCCATACATATATAAATATGTGAATATTATATTATATGTGTAGCTTTATATTTGCATCACAATCGGTGTGAATTTTTGTGTGTTTGCTTATGCATGTGTATGTAGAGCGAGAAACGCGTCAAACAATAACAAAAAAATGCAAGCTGCTGCACTAATTTCGTCAATGCATTATTGCTCTTGTATACACCTACCCTCCTCCTCCACCATCGCCGGCAAAAGTCCATTTCATTCGTAAATTCAGCTGCTCGACGTTATGTACATCTGTTCTCTGCTGCTGCCGCCACTTAGTGTATAAATTGTTTGAAAGCAGCAAATATTTGAGGTAATTAATGAAATTGCATTTTATTGCTTGCTTTGTTTCATAATATCTTTTCTTTCTTTATTACAGGTAATTTGAATCAAAACTGAACTACATACAAATATACTGCCAAAGTGTATGAAATTAAGGATAATTGTGCATGTGGATAATTTAATAGACATTTTTATTGGTATTTTAAATGGCGGAAAAATAGTTTCGATTTGGAAGGCTCGTACTTTATTATAAAATTGATATAATCCAATCGATTTTTAAGTTTTAATGAATGGCAATGGTATTAAGTACTTTTTTTAGTATTATGTACTCATAAAAAAATCTGCAAGGAAAGTGCTTAGCAATTTTCGGTATACAACCAATGTCAAATTTTGTTTAGTATACATATATGTTTGTAATTATAAACTACGCGCATATGAATATGTCGATCTAGCAACATTGACTATGTTTTATGTGAAAGGAAAGCTATCATGTTCTATTTATATTTTTAATTTATAAACTATAGAATCTGTAATTACACTTGGTACAATCAAACTTCATCTAAACGATCTCTTAACTTAGAAGCGAATTCAATATTCTGTCTTCGTAATTACATTACAAATCATCTCTTTAAATTATTGTCAAGCCTTTTAAAGAAGTTTTCGCCACTGACTCTTAGAAGAACCGGTTCTACACACTGGAGGTGATGATCCGGGCTTACACCGCCCGAATCGCAATAACTCTTTCGAGGTTCTAACTTCCTTTTGGTTTATGTTATCGCCTCTGCTTGATAACTAATAGCCCAAAGGTTTTAACAGCATATCTTGACGAATTTTATTTTAACTCCAATTTATTCTGTAGTGTTCATTAAATGGTCAATATCAATATTTTTTAATCTTGTTTCAACTATCTATTGCTTCTTAGAGAGTTTATAAAATGAGAATCTTGGAAGTATATGTTCGAAGTATATAAATGTGGTCATTGTTTGTAAAAAAAATTGCATTTAATATAAATTAACTTAATTTAATTGTACTTAATTGCATAATATTATTTTTTATTACACTTAATTCTTTGTATTTTTTATATTTTATTTGTTTGAAGTAAGCATTACTTTTTTCTTTATAATTTAATTATTTTGCTTTGCTTTGTTTTCTTTTCTTTTATTTTATATTATTCGATTTTACGTTTAATTTTTTCAATGTTTTTTTATTGTATTTTATTAATTTTATTCCTTTAATTTAATGGAATTTATTTTTTTTCTATATTTTTTCATTTTGTTTTGTGTTATATTTCATTTTATTTTGACTTATTTTGTTTTGTTTTCTTTTATTTTATTTTGCTGTATTTTATTATATTTCTTTCGTTTTATTTTATTTTAATTAATTTTGTTTTATACTAATTATTATTATTTAATTTGAGTTTCTTCTTAATTTATTTTGAAGTATGCTATCTACTATGATATAAAATAAGTTTTACTACATTTTATTTAATTCTATTTCATTTCATTTCAATTAATTTTTCATAATATGATTTATTTATTTTACTTTTTCTAATTTGTTTTAATTTTTTTAAATTAATTTGATTAAACCTTAGTTTCTTTTAAATTGTATTATATATATTTCAATTTTATTTTATTTTTTAATAAATTATTTTACTTCTTTATATTTTATTTTTTGTTTTATATGTATAATTTATTTAATTTTTATTTATATTTTTTTTATTTTAATTATTTTCCTTTTACTTTGAAATTTTTTATTTTATTTTATAATAATTTTTTTTACTTCTTTTTCTTTTTTTTTGTATGTATATACATATATTATATTCAAAAGTTTTCATTTTAATTTTTTAATTTTTATATATATTTCTTATTTATTTATGTTTTTATGTTAATATTTTTTATTTTAACTTAGTTTGTTTTAATTTTTTTAACTAAATTAAATATAGTAAAAATTTAATATGATTTTAATATAATTTTATTTATTTTTATTTTGATGTGCTTTTTTTAATTAATTTATTTTATTCTTTTTTAATCTTATACCTCTGATCGCGCTCTTCATTTAACTAAAAAAGCAAGAAAGCATCAATGCACCTTACATGTATGTATGTATGTACATATGTATTACATACGTATATTCAAGCAAAATGTCCGAAAATTGTCTTAACGGCGATCACTTACAATGTCTCTCTGTCTGTCTTCTGCGAGATATTTACTTTATTTTTATTTCGATTTGAGCTAAAGCAACGTTCCAAAATAAGTATTCACGAGTATATATATGTATTTTATATCCAAGTAAATGTGTACATAAATATATGTGTTTGACTCCATGCTGACGACCGTCGACTGTTGTCAAGCTGCTGCTGTTCAAGACAAAAGACGGTTTTAAGCCGCAGATAGCAGAAAGAAGAAAACTTTCAGATATATAATTATGTATATAAAATTCAATACAATTTATATATGTAGGCACATACATATATGTATATATATACAGGTATGAATATATAATATATATCTACTATATAAGTACCATATGGCGCTGCTCCACCGATGCTCTTGTTATTGTGTTCATTTTCTTCTTTCCATTTTTTTTTATTGGTAAGTTGATCTTTATTCAATTTCTTAAAGGTTTGAGCTCGATTCTAGACTACTCCAACTGCTGCGTACTTTTGCCAACTCATGGCTCTTGCTGTTGGTGGTGGTTGCACATTTTGGCAATTTATTTTATATTTGCTTTTTGACTCTGTTTTTGCAGGTACATATATGTACATATCTGTATACATAATTGTGCACAAACGAATTACTGTTGTTGCAGTTCGAGTTTAAGGTCAGATCAAGAGGAGATCCTTGGCAAAGTCCTGTTCAGATCTGAGCTTATCAGCAATCTAATCTGAAACTGCTACTGCAGCAATTGTAGAGTGACTATTTTTGCGCTCAGCCAATACTGTTAAAGAGAAATTAAATTTTTAAACTTTGAGGATATATAGACTGAGCAGGAATAAAATAATATCCCGAAGAGTCGTATAGAAAGAATTTCCAATTAAAATAGGCGTGTGGGTTGCCCAATAGGCGCTCCGGGGGTATCTCTGGGCTAGCATTCTCTGAAAGATTTTCATAGAAAATATGTAACGCTGATTGGGAGAAACTTTATTTGTATGAAAATCATTTTGATCTGAGCCAATGTATAAGAAATGTGTCCCAGGATGAGGCAGGTATTGTAAATGTTGCATAGCAAGTAGAACGTTCGCTCATGCGCGTTGCATATTAATGCCTAACAGTTTTCGGAACCCCATGACAAGGGGGCAAATCCTAATCCTTTTGATTCCCTTTCAACGCTAGCCCAGAAAGCTTTCAAAGAATCTCTTATAGAAACAACATACTTCCCTGTAAAAGATCTATTTTTGATCGATCTGTGGTCATAATATAAACATCATCATAATTAATTCTTTATTTTATTTTGTCTTTTATCTTATTTTAATTTCTCTTACACAACTTTATTTTGCTTGGATTTATTTATTTTAATTTTTTATTTTATTTTTTTTCCATTATTTTATTTTTTCTTTCTTTAATTTAATTTTAAACCCTTTATTTTATTTTTTCGTTTTATTTTATTTAATTTTTTATTTTATTTCATTCAATTTTATTTCATTTTATGCTTTTATTTTTTTATTTTTATTTATTATGTTTATCTTATTTCATTTATTTATTTTTTTTAAGTGTAATTTTAGTTTATCTAAATTCATTTTAGTTATTTTAATTAATTGTTTATTTTATTTTACTTTATCTTAATTTAATTTCTTTTATTTACCTTAATTTTATTTATTTTAATTTATTATTATTTTTATTTATTTTGTTTACTAAATTTTTTTGTTTTATTATACTAAATTTTTTTCTTGATTTATTTTGTTTCATTTTATTTGTTTATGTCATATTTTTTTATTATATTTGTTTGATTTACTTTTATTTTAATTCATTTTAATTCTTTTATTTAATTTTTATTTATTTTTACTAATTTTTCTCTGTCGATTCATCTTACTTTATTTAATTTTTATAATTTAATTTTATTTTATCTTATTTTATTGAGAATTATTTTATTTATTTCATTTCAATTTTATGAAATCTATTTTATTTTAATTTCTTTTATTTAATTCCATTTAATTTTTTGTTAATACATTTATCTTATTTTATTTTATTTTATTTTATTTTAATTTATTTCATTTTATCTTATTTAAATTTATTTTATTAAATTTTTAATTTTATTTTCTATTATTATTTTCTTAACCTCATTAATGCTGGAGATGATGTCATGCAATTCAACTCCACTACTCTTTTCTATTAATTCAAGATTTATTATAAAAAGAAATCATGAATTCCAATTACTTATCTCACTCTTCTTTCTTTCTTCATCTCTTCCAGACGCTGCCATCACCACAATCATCATCAATGCCGCCTACAACCCCTTCACAATCTACAATATATTGTTATTTCGAAAACTCGCGAACTCGTCTGTCGGGTCGTTACTAAAAATCTTTGTTAAATTATCATTAGCACCCAGCAGCAGCAGTAGAAATTGTTGTTGCTTTGTTTTTGCTAAATCTGCAGCAGTTTTATCGATTAGATGTGCTTGCTTGGTCGAGTGGGGAGGAGAGACTGGTGAAGGGTGTTATATATTTTCATATAGACATTATAGTATTTGCACGTTGCTCCGGCAGAAACCACCTTGCAAAATTTCGCTGAAAAAAAAAACCAGATCGCACAGCTGTTGCTGCCATTGAAGCGTTTGTTGTTGTTGGTACTGTTGTTGCCGCCATTATTGTTGCCAATTGCTTTCATGCGCTTATTTTTATTTATTTATGTACATAAATATTTATTTTTTTTACATGCATACATACATATGTATATAGAAAATTATTTGCACCGCGCTTGGCTGCGCAGACAAGATGTCGTCGCTGCCAGCGCAACTGCTGACGCCTACAAGCACTTTTCAACAATAAAGCACAGGCAATAATAATAATAATAGCAATAATAACAACAGCTGCAACGCAGCAGTAGCCGAGCGAAAATGTCAATGCGTCGTGTTGTTGGTGATTTCGGCGTGACTCCCCCTCAAATTTACACGATATACAAGTGTACGTATAAATCATGAAATGTTTGTGCGCGCACCGTTGATTAAATCACTCAAACAAAAGAGTCGGCTTCGACATCAGCGCCCCCACAGCGCAGCACCGTAACGCCTTCGCGGCAATTCTCTCGCCGTGCACGCTCGCTGCCGCCGTTACCGACGCGTTCGCTTGCGTCACGCGTTTCATTTGGCGCTCGGCCGTAACTGTATTCGCCGGTTTTCGTTTTGCAACAAATTTTATACATTTTTTTCTGCAATTATTATTTACCTGTGCATTTAAATATGTATGAGTGAAAAAAAAAATAAAATAATTATTTTATTGCTTTCGGTTACGCATACACGTGCACCTGTAAGGTTAGTCAGTTGCATTTGGCGCGCGCATTGAATTTGTAGCACCGTGAAAATTGTTGCGTCTGAATATTCAAATTATTGTTCGTGTATATATGTGTGTAAACGAACTTTAGCGTAGGTTTTAAAACGAATCAATTAAAACAGTGAAAGCAACAAATAGAAACATATTTAATTTCTAAAAAAAAAAGTTGTTTTTTTCCAATTTTTTTTCCCTAAAAAGTCTCAAAAAAAATAATTTTTCCAAATATTTTTATTTCTTATTTTGGTTTATACATATATATATATATATATATTTCATAATTAAAGAAATTCAAATATTAAATATTTTACATATTTTACAACAAAAACATTTTTCCAAAAAAAAAATATTTTATTACTAAAAAAAGTCACAAAAAAATTAAGAATTAATATTTTCAAATTTTCAAATGATTTTTAATTTTTTTTTGTTTTCTATATATTTTTTTCCTTTTTTAATTTTTGTTATTTATTTTTAATTAAAAAATCCGAAATGGATAAATCCTTTACAGTGTCCCTTAAGCGCGTTCGTATGTGTTATTTTTAAAGTGTAAGAAAGCCATTTTATTTAACAAAATAAAATTGTTGTTGTTGTCGTCGTGTTGACAAAGTGAAGAGAAAAAAATATAATATTATAAAAATATTTGAATAGAAGAAACTGCTTTTCTAAGCATACAGTGTGCAAAAAAAGTGCTAAACTATTGCATATAAAACGTAAAAAGAAAATTCGTATCAATTGCTCTCTGCAAAAGCAACGGTAACTGCAAGGAAATCAATCATGGAAACTGCATTGGATGTGCTCTCACGCGCTGCCACAATGGTGCAGGATAATGCAAATGGTGAGTAAAAATATGGAGAAAAATTTCTATATGTAATGTTTACATATATAACATATGGGCTGAAAAGCCTCATCGGTGAGAGTATTTACCCTGATACCCTTACTTTTGTCCTCCTTGTTGCTCATTACTGTACCTCGCTGCACGCTTTTCTCGAGGTCACTTCAGCCATTGTTGAACATTATTTAGTATCCCGCGTTGAGTTGATAGTGCAGTCTTCGTATGCTTCCTGGTGTTCTGGTGTAATTAAGCTCACTTGGGTTTGCTGGTGTGATACTTATGCTTGTCCTGTGTAAATAGCTTCCTCTTCCCATCCTTTAATGCTCTATCTACTTCTCTTTGTTACTGCATTTACGATAGAAGTCAATATAGTAGTAATCCATCCTTTTACACTGAGTACCCATTAAGTAGTGTCAGCTTACTAAGCCCACGGAGGTCCTGTTTAGAAGGAATATAGACTTTGTTCTCTTATCCTCGTCGAATGGCCAGATCTGTCTGATGGCATTGCAATGGTTTTAGTCCGCCATCTGAGGAAGATTTTAGCACGTACTGTACCCATGTGCTGAATTTATCGTGGTTTGGCTCGTCGACTTCACAATTCTCAAGCATGTCTTACTTTCCTTGGAATAATCTTATATTTAGTGGGCTAATTAGGGATCTTCACCTTTATATATCTATCTATATAGGGCAGACTTGCCTTATCATAGGGTAAATTCTTGAAGCCAAACCCAAGAACCCGTCCTTACAGCGCTTTTAAAGTAGATGTGAATAGATTGGTACTTCTCATCCTAAGCCCAATTAAACCCGGCTTGAAAGACCGTAAGCTGTTGCGTTTGGCAGTTCTCTTTTGGAAACATCTACTGTTTTACCACGAGAGTACCGGCAAAAATCTCTACCGAAAGCAAGAGTTGTAATATTTTGTTTATCGAGCGATCTTCCTCTCTACCGTGGTCTCACTGTGAGATCTCCCGGCATGGTCTTACTGTTTGTTGAATTGGACACGATTTAGTTTTAGCCCCAAGCTCGGTGAACACTAAACCACATAGAATGTCGATATCGAGCGGTTTCTCTCTGTTCCGTAGACGAAAAGTAAGTCTGATCAAGAATTATTAGTTGAATTCGAGAAGGAGATTAAAAACTCCCTTTACTCACTTGTAACCCGTCAAATGTTTATGAGCGAAATGTCGACCGGGAGCTATACTGTCTTAATTGCAGTGACTTCCACCTGAAGTCAGGATAGGATGCTTCGTGGGATAATAATTAGAAGACCTAATAGATTTATGATTGCGGTGCACACCTTCCCTTTCTTACGCTCCGCCTATGAATGGTTTCTAAGTCTGCAGCTGATAACAATGGCTGACAGAAAAATTGTTTTCCTCACTTTTGGTTTTGAGGTTTGTTAAATTCACCAGCTCCCAATGACTGAGGCTCTACTATACTAAGGCATCCCTTGGGCATAGGATAAAGATATTGAAGTATTTTGGAATTTGGAATTCATAGACAATACTAGCGAGCAAATACCAAAGCTTTTGAAATCCACAACGCCACTTCCTAAGCTTTAACGCCCTTTCCTCGTTATGTTACGAAATTAAAATGAGCAAGATTGTTTCGTAAACCACTTCAGGTGCTCTTATTTACTAAACGTAGTGAGGAATACGACCGGAATGTCAGTCTATTCGTCACATTATATGCTATTTATGACAAAAAAATTTCAACGTAACTCATTGAAGCGACCACACGGGCTGAAAATGTATGCGCACGACATAATGATACACACCATTTTTTCCATTTTTTTTTTGGTTTTTTTTTTAATTTTTTTCATTTCAATAAAAGAATGCACAACATGACTTCCTGGAAAAGTGTAAAAAATTTTCCACATTTTTCAGGTTTTATTATTGTCACAACGCAATAAATAGCGAACAAGAAAAAAGGAAAAATGAACGGAAATACCAAAGTGGATGAAACCAACACGGGCCAATGCGCTAATGTGAACCCACTGCCACAAGCAATTAAATATTATTATGAAAAAATACCAAAAATATTAAAAAAAAAAAAAAATTGAAGTTAAATAGTCAGTCGGACTGCCATGCGTGAACTCCACTTAAGTGCCACAAATTACGGTTCAAAAGAAAATGTAAAAAAATTAATTTCAAATAACATTAGTTATTTAGCGTGTGTGTGTGTTCTTTACATTTTTATGCACTGAATCACTTTTATTACTTGTTATTTGCCGTCTTCCGCTGTTTTTATTTAAATTATCAAATTATTTACGAAAGTACATTTACCTTTCGATGTCCCCATTCACGTTTTAAAGGAACTCTAATAGTTCAGAATATGTACGGTTAGCGGTGTTAATTATCAAGACAACAGTTATTTATATAACTTCTAGCACATTTTTGTAAATTTAGAGCTACTTTTGATCTTTTTTAGATACCTTCTCTAAGTTGCACGCCATTTAGTTTAAGCTCTTTGAGAAATTCCGGAAGAAAATTTTGGTTAAGGCAAAATAAAAAAGCGGTTATCATAATGGTGGCTTGAGATCCTTTTCAGTTTGCATATAACATGCTTTGGCTTAACCCAATAATTGCTTTGTCTGACAACTTCTATGATGGCAACAAATCTTCTTTCTCTAACAGCGCACTTCTGTCTGTCTTAACAGTCTTTGCAGACCCCTCAAACTATCCTGATTTGCCTCTAGGCAATAAGTATTCGTTGTTCTCATAGTCCGTCCAACTTCAATTAACGTCGTTACACTAGTTCAACGACTGTAACTATCGTCCTCTGATATTCACTACCCGACTGCTTTTAGTCTCCAGTAATCGGTCGTTGCTGCCATGGTATAAAACTGGTGAGTTCGTGGCTATCACTGCCGCCGACTCTCTCGCCTACTCGCGATTACTCCTACCGAGGCGGTAGTCAGAACCATAATCGCCTTGTAGGAAGTCCGCACTCTGCCTCTTCATTTTCTTTTCCTTTTCATCGTCACATTGTTTCTTAAGAAGAGCGAAAAAATTCATTCTTATCGAGATAGTGATACACACTACAATGCAAAGTGTTTGATGAACATACAAAATGCTCACCCTATTTAGATGCTGACAAACGTAGCTAATGTTGTCTAGAATATCTAACGGGAGACCAGACCAGAGAAATAACCTGAAAAATCCTATCATCACCAAAATGTTGAAGTTCTCTAATGCTAGATCCAGACCCAGTGTGCTCTTTCGACGGTTTTGTATGGGAGGAAAGTGAGTGTTGGATGTGTAGGTTTTATGGGATGCCTGGTGTAGGATTCCACTCAAGATAAGTAGGAGTTGAGACAACTCTAGTATAAAGAACTTAAATGTGCCAATATTAATCGTGTCTCAATGGGAAGCTTAAGCTATTCGAGTTTGCCCCGAGTGGCATTTGAATTCCGATGCCATTCACTTTAAGCGAGTTGCTAAAGCTGTTAAGTGTCTCTCTGTGAAAGAAGACCTACCAGCAGTACTAACAAAACAAATTGCTAAATGGAGTCCGTTTAATCGATTACTTTCTTCCTGATGTACATGGAGGAAAAAAAGCGAGGGCGGTTCTGCTCCGAAGAAGGTGTATGAAAGTTGATTCCAACCGATGCTGCTAGCATTGTATAATTATTTGCTTCTCTTTAACCCAGAGCATGATGTCTCGTTACTTAGATGACGAGCAGGTGACATCAGGAAGCTTCCTGTTATAGCTCATAAGGTAATAATCAGACAGGACTGTAACTTCTTCTGCGTCTCGCTCGTCACCGGCGCTCAAAACGATGAGGTGTAATTTATGAGCGGTGGCCGACAGCTAATAACCTTCTTTTGGCTTTGGCTGGGGGCTTAAAAGTTTTATGGAAAGGCTGTTCGAATGTTATTCCCAATGAGCTTTGGCTGTTAACAGTCGGAAATTTGACGTCATCGTTTTGGCATTCAGTTCAAGTCAGTACTCCTTTGTCGAGCTGGCGAAAAAGTTGGACGTGGATTCTTACTGGTGATAGATGGGGATGATCGAAAAGATAGCAGTTTATCTTTAAATATAGGTTGTCCATGTGCTGTCCGCACCTTCATCTTTGCCCCTGACGTTTCTGAAGTCTTGTAAGCTATTGTATATCCGTGCTCAGTTGACTATCATAATTTCTAAAAGAAATTTCGATCCAATAAATGTTGTGATGTAAACCAGCAAATCATTAAAATCATAATATTTATAAAGATAATATGATTAATAATTAATTAAAAATGTATATAAAGAAAAAAACATATTTTGGCCACATTAGCTAGTTTTTTATAAAAAAAAATATTTTTTTTTTTATATATTTTCATTAATTTTCAGCACACCTTGTGAACTTAATTTTTTCTTCGTTTATTTTCAACATTTAAATATTTTAATTGCAATACTATTTTAACTCACTTGTTTTATTTGCGTACGCATTTTTTCGTTTTTTCCAATTAAGAAATATTTTGTGTAATTTTTCGCATTCCTTTGTGGCAAGAAAAGAAAAGCTCATCATTCGTTAATTACCCACAGTATGGCATTCACGCAATAGTAATCTTTTATGCATTTTTCTTTTTTTTTTTTTTGTAAAAAACATATAAATAGCTTTAAAATTTAATCTTTTTAAAAATTTAATACACCAATGTGGTCAATCGGCATAGAAAATGTGAGCATTTGTCTACCTCGAAAATAAAACAACTAAAATAGACGAAGAAAACTTAGAGCGAGAAAATAACAAACAAACTCACATTCCACCACATAACACTCAAATATATTTCTAAAATAAACAAAATTCCTGAAAAAAAAAATTAGCAAAATAACGACACGCATGTTCGTGTGTACGCAATCGTTAATGGAATGTGTATGCATATAAATATATGTACGAGTAGCCTACCGCAAAAATGTTTTAGACTAAAAAAGTTTTAAAAATTTGCAAACAAAAAATAATAATAATAAACAAAACACAGATTATCGCAAACGAGCGCACAAATATCTAGAAGCAACAG